CTGTCCCACTTCTTGTGGTGGCAGTTTTGATCTCAAATGAGACTGCTTTGAGCATGCCTCACATGTATGCCAGCAGTGTTAGCAGAACACACACACAGAATTGGGGTTTTCCTTGAATTCTCCTTTCTATGTACTGCTGTACTCTCTGGTGGCCCTGGCTGTCCCTGAGTGCTTTGCCTGTTTACTCCATTCACAAAGATGGCAGATTTTTCATTGGTGTTTTATACCACTGGTGCCACCACTGTGGCTGCAGCTGCTCTTCGATCAAAGATGCAAAAACATTCAGGTGACCCCATGTAGGTCTAATTTCTTCTTCTAAGGTTGCAATTTCCCTGAAGATGCTCAGATAATTGGCCTGCTTTAAAAATCTTTTTCTGGGGTTTACATTTGTTATTCCTGGAAGATATGTTTGTTGGGAAATTAATCCTTTACTATAGAAGTGGGAATTAAGCACTGATTTTAAAAATATATGTCAAGATACTGTGGTTTCACTCTAAAAGAATTTTGGACTATTTGAATGTGGTATTTAAATATGACTCAATTTGTGTTGTAAAACACTTTTGGGGTTGCTTAAGTACACCTGATAGAGGCAAATGCTATGTCAAACAAGGTGTTTTCCTAATATAGCCATCCTTTTAATATTGGTTGATGTTCAAGTAATTTTATCAAAGATGTACATAGCTTAGTAATTGAGAAAATTCTCAGTAGCTTTACGTCAGATGGTTATTTGAAGTTACATTTAGCAATTTAAAAGAATAATAAAATCCCATTTACTCAGTAGATAGATATTTAGAAACAACCACTATTTAGTATACAGTTAAAACCCCTAATCCCCAAAGAAATTTAAGAATAGGGAAAGGGAAATAGGTAACAATTAGGAAAACTCTAGTTTTATCTAGTAAAGAAATTACTATTTGCTGTTTGCTATGTTTCATCGTATAAAACAAACAAAAATGAAGGAAATCTTTGAAAAGGTAAAAAATTATAAGAAAAGGTTACGTATTATAAAATGGTAAATAAAAGAAAGTTGATGGGCTGGGCACGGTGGCTCACGCCTGTAATCCTAGCACTCTGGGAGGCCGAGGTGGGCGGATTGCTCAAGGTCAGGAGTTCGAGACCAGCCTGAGCAAGAGTGAGACCTCGTCTCTACTAAAAATAGAAAGAAATTATCTGGACAACTAAAAATATATATATATAGAAAAAAAAATTAGCCGAGCATGGTGACACATGCCTGTAGTCCCAGCTACTTGGGAGACTGAGGCAGGAGGATCGCTTGAGCCCAGGAGTTTGAGGTTGCTGTGAACTAGGCTGACGCCACGGCACTCTAGCCAGGGCAACAGAGCCAGACTCTGTCTCAAAAAAAAAAAAAGAAAGTTGATGAAGCAAGCCAGATTAATACACTGGAGGAAATTAACATAAGAGTCTTCAATGACCCCAAAAGAATTCCCAGATAGACTTACACACCAAAAAGATGTAAAGAGATTTGGCATTAAGAGAAAATATAAGTAACATATAGAGTTGAAGGCAAAAGAAAAATTGTCATGATTTGTAGTTTGTATAATATTCTACATCAGATCTCCAGAAGGATATATTTGCAGTCTCCTACAACCAATAAGAGGGTTCAGAAAAACATATGAACAACGTATAAAAATCAATGTTCCTGAACCCAGCAGTAATCAATTTAAAGTGTATAAATTTTAAAATGGTTCCATTACCATTATAATAATATCAAAACTCTAAGTTACTTAGAGAAGTAATAAAACATGGAAAATAAGTTTGATGAAAATAAAATTGTGAGAAGATATTTTAATATTTTAATTAAATATTATGAGAAAACATAAAAAGTCCTCAGTATATGGAAAAATAAACAATCCTTATGATTAGAAATGCCAATATCAAGATGTCAATTATCTCCCAATTGATACATAAATTCAGGACAAGTTCAATCAAAATTTTACCAAGAGTTGTCTAGAATTCTACAAATTGTTTCTAAAGTACGTGTGGAAGAGTAAAGAATGGAAAAATATCCAAGATAGTTTTGAGAGTGTAGTATCAGAGATTTTTCCACTCACATATTATCTGGTTACTAAAGTATAGTTTAAAAATGTGGTCTTGGTAATAGGGAACTATATCAGTGGAAGAATTGAGAGGGCCCAGAAACAACAGAAATACTCGTATGGGAACTTGGTATATGACAGAAGTAGCAATGGAGATCAGTGAGAAAAGTATGGATCGTTACAAGAATTTAGTTGTAAAAGATGGCTATCTATAAGGAATAATTAAAATTGGAAGCTTGTTTTCCTAATTTAAACAAAAAATTGAGAAAGAATGAAGGTTATACAAACACACGTACACAGACACACATACAATACCTTCTGAAAGAAAACACAAGGAAATTGTTTTATCATCTCAGGGTAGAACATGATTCCTTAAGTAGAACACTGAACATTAAAGGTATAAATCCTAAATGTTAAAGATCAATATATTTGACTACATAAAAAATAAAGGCTGTTCAGTCTAAGTTTGAATTGATAAAAGAGTATAGTGGACAAATTGAAGAACATTCATTTGAATGGGAACTATATCAGTTCAAATGAATGTATTTAGTTTGTGCACACACCATAGATAGAACTGTAAAACACACCATTGGTAAAAATATTTGCAGACTGATATGAACATTTTTATGCTGTTTATGCTGTTTATGTTGTTTCTAGTGTAAGCCTAACATGTCCTCAGAGATGGCAAGGATTCACATCAAATGTAGGACAAGGTTGCCTTTGGGAATGAGAGGAATGGGACTGAGGAGGGTTGATAATGGAGACCAAGTATCTGAAATGTTTTATTTTTGGAAAAAGGAATAGTTATAAATCAATCAGAAAAAGGATGACAGCAAGCACATTAACAGGTCTTAATACTTGGAAGAGGGGTGCATACGTATTTGTTAAATTAGTCTATGTATTTTTTTTTGTATTCCTGGAATGTTTAATGATATAATATAAAAATATCTGGGACATAGAGAAAGAATGGACTAAAATTTTACATGGTGTCAATATAATTCTAATGCCTAAATTTGTATAGAAGACAAAAAGCAAGCAATAAATGCAACTTATGGGCATCTATGCAAAACACCTTCAAGTGTTAGCAAATAAAATACAACAGTACATTAAAACACTGTTATAACTCAGTGAAGAGGGAGTTTCTCCCAGAAATACAATGTTGCTTCAATATTATAAAATTAATAATACAATACCTCATATTGATATTTTAAAATGAGAAGGAACAAACCCTCTTTATCATTTCACAAGATACCAAAAGAACAGTTAATCAGCCACCATCCATTCATGATTTTAAAAAGAATAAAAATTAAATGCTCATTGGAATTGGTGGATGTATTCTTGTTTAAAAAAAATATTTTCATTAAGTTTGGAGCAGATCCCAAAGAGTATTTATGAAATATTTCAAAGATATAAAGAATAACAAAATGATCACCTATATGTAAATCTTCTAGTGTTAAAATGGTTTGCATGTGTGTATTCTTAATGTGTTATGGTTTATATAGCTCAAACTGAAAGCCAACATCATGTTTAATGGTAGAAAAAATGGAACACTAGAGCATTTTCATTAAAGTCAGGGATTGACCATAATATCTCCCTCAACAGTTTTATTTAACGTTGTTTTCTAGGAGTAATGAGTTTAAGCAAGCAAAAAATAAAATTACAAATAATAGAAAAAAAAGAAACCAAGAGATTCCTCATTTTCAGATTATGTGATTATTTTCTTAGAATCCCCAGAGGAATGAAGTAAAAAGCTGTTTGATAAAATAAAGAAAATTCAGTAAGGTTCCTAATTTAAAAAACTAATATATACAAATTATTCCTCTTATGTACAAATAATGATGTTTGAAAAATATAATGGAAGAAATGATTTCATTTATAATAGGAAACAAAAAAAAAGATAAGAAATACATGATAGCTACCACTTTTTTTTTAGTGTTAGAAAAAGTGTTTAACAATAAAGCAATATGGCGGAAAGAAAGTTTTAATATTTAAGATTCAATAATTTGTTTCTTCTGAGTTGATACGTTACACCAGTGACTTTTTCAAACACAAGCTGACAATTATCTGATTTCATCCTCTAGACTACCTGTGAGTTTTAAAAGAAAGTGAGGCTCAAGTTTTGGAGTAATTTGCTCAAGATTTCACTCCTACTTCATGTTATACCTATCAGGTGTTCTTATCCTGTTGATCCTAATTAGTGTGTTCCTTGGAGGTAGAGCCACGTCTTGTTTGCACTCATGTCTGTAACAACCATTGCAGCGTAGGCACTTGATTCAAACCTCGAACTCACTTGCCCATCTATGTGAGGAGTCACAAATCACAGAGGTTGATAGAAATTGGGCAGGTAAATGCATACCTTTTCTGATGTAGACACTGTTAGCTGATCATTTTCTTGTGGCTATACGCCTCAAAATTGGTAGATTTTAAGATTTTTAAAGAGAGTTTGGAAATCTGAAGTTTTTATCTGAAATATTTGGATTTTTCAACATTGACAGCCAACTTAAAAAGTAATCACTCTCCACTTTAAAGAAACCTCACTGTTGGCACAGTTTGGCCTGTGGCCTGCCTCTTCATGACCTTGGATTTTTCCATAGTGCTTTCCCTGAATTCTAATATGTTAAAATCCAGGAGCAAAACAAATGTAATAGGGTTGATGGGGTAAAGAGGTTCAAGATACGAGGCTACTGTATCTGTCTATTTTAGATTGTAACTGTCCAACTCATTCTATACTCTTCCTCATTCTGCTACCAGTTCTAAAATTGAGTTAATCATCATGTGTGTCTGTTATGTGTGTGTGTGTATGTACCGTTTTGAAACTGTTTCTAAGAGCCGTTATAGAGAGAGTCCCAGGTTTAATCTTTTTAAGTTAACAAGTAAGAATTTAAGATTGTCCCCCTGTTGTTTTATCAAATAATCATATGGTCTTATTTGTCTTCAAATCAGGTATTTTTGGTCACCGTCTGGAATTTCGAACTATACATGATCCCCTTGGCATTATTGCTGATCTTTGTCTACAATTTCATCAGACCCACAAGAGGCAAGGTCAGCATCGCCCAGGACAACCAGGTAAGCCAAGATCCAAAGAGTTCTGACATTTGACCTGAGAAAAATGTTATCAACAGCAAACAACCACCACCAAATCATAGCTCAAGGCCATTTTGTTTGAGACGTGAGGTGCAGCCCTACAACATATATCCATTTTGCAGTGGGGGTCTTTTATCAGGTGTCCCGAGTCCTGGCCTACAGTGTTAACATGAGTGGGCCCCTCTGGGTCCTAGTCATGATTTCCATGCTGGTAGCACATCTGTGTGTGCCCGTCTGTTTCTCTATAAGGTTCCGGTGAATCACTTTCTCAACCACTGTAGAAAAACCTTTGGTGGCTCTCTGAGCCCCTCCAGGGCACATAGAGCACTGTGGGGGCTGAATCAGGCCTTTCCACAGAGGCACCTCACACAGCGCTCTCAACAGCCTGAAAGCGCAAGAGATTCTTGGAGGCTTGCCGACTTCCAGGGCAATCAGAGGGTGGGTGGGCATTGACCCTCTATTCTCAGGTGCCCAAATTTGTGTTAGAATTCTCAAGTTCTCTGTTGTATTGAAGAAAGAAAAAGACCCTTTCTCAAAGACATCCATCAGCCTCTACTCCCCATCCTTCTTTGACTGTCCTGCCCCTGTCCCCCTCATCCCACCTCATAGGAATTTTTCTGCTCCAGGTGTGCAGGAATTTATAGGCTTGCTTTTTGATGTAATCTTGGTGTTCCAGATTCAAGAAACAAGCTTTTAAGACAAAAATCTAAAGTTGCAAGATTTGATCATTCCCTCTCCAGAAAGATCACCTTCACATCAAGTTTCCCAAGATTCAGTTGTGCCTATTTTTCTTTATGTCCTCATTTTTTTAAAAAAATCATCTTGGAAATAAATCTAGGGGATATTTCTGGTTTCATTTAGGCTGGAAGGAAGGTGGGGACATTGAGTGTTGCAGTGGGAGGTAAAACTTCAGACAATTTCAGAATTCCATTCTGTTTGATTGTGATTATTTAATGCAATAGGCATGGATATTTATAAGCGAGATAATAGAACCATCTAATAAATGCTTTAAAGTTGAAGTCCATTTAAGGACTAGGTTTCACAGAGGTGAAAGATAAGTTAAATTTTTACAGAGAAACATCTCTAATAACAAATGCTGTCAACTTACATTTTTATAATGTTTAATCAGATTTTATTTTGCCTACTATGTATATAATATATGTTTATAGTATGTCTATGCATATGTGTACATTCATGTTAAACATGTAAATATACTTGTGTCATGTGCACATATACTTATATACACATATAAATGTGTATGTATGTATATAGCCTTTTCTTAATTGGAAAAACATTCAAATTCATCACCTAATTTATCTTGGTGACACAACTATGAAGGAGGCAAGAACTATTTTCATTTTATGCTTGATGAAACTACAACTCATAGTGGCAAAGTGATTTGCCTACAACCACAATGCAAAAAAGTGCTGGAATCATGTTCCAAGCTGAAAACTTCAAATTCCTAATTACAGTGTTTTTTCTCCCATGACCTATTTTCCTTACACTTCTGTTTATGTATTGGCTTTCATGAGACGTGCTAGCTGCCAGTAGTGGATAGGTTAGTTCCCCAGAGGATCAATGAATGTCACACAAACTGCTAGTTGAATCTCATGAGAATTCTGGGAGGTAGGGCTGTACCAACCCTGGAGAAATTTCTTGATGCGTGTTCAGTGGTTTTATGAAATATAACAGAGTACTCTCTGGATACTTCAGAGTTACTCCCTTTTCAGAGCATGATAATGACAATTCTTTTTACTATTGGAACAGTGACATCTAGACAGCATGCCTGACCTTTGCAAGGTTAAGCAGAAACCTAAGTGTTCCAGATGAAAATAGACCCTGTCATCTAATACTGAGCATTCCTTCCAAACTACCAACCCACTCGATTGTGTACCAACATGTGTTGTTTTTAAACATTGCGGTGCTGTGATTAAAACTTGCCTATTAAATAGCCAAGATTTTAAAACGAATCTGAACAAACCCATGAGCAGCACAGCTGGTGCTGTGGCACCTGAGCTAAAGCCAGGCACCCTCAAGTCCAGACCAGAGCCTTGAGTTTCTTCCCCTTCCCTCGCCTGCCCCTTCCAGCCCCAAAGCCCAAGCAAAATAAAAATACCACGTAGAAACCTTATTCTTAACTTATTCTTAAGATTGATAATTTTCAGACTAATGCATTTTCTACTGTCTAATGTTTCAGTAATGGCCCCAAAGGGAGAGAGCAGTCATTATAACAAGCCTAGCGCAAGCGGAGTACGGTATTCTCAGCCTGGACACAGCAGTTGGTTCATTTGTCAGAATGAGAACAGCACTGTTTACAGAAAGTACAATTTGGCAATGTCTTTTTAAAGCTGGATGCCTTCAAAGGGCACTGGCCTAATAGCTTTATTTATAGTTAACGGTTTTATGTAGATTATGCATATTGCTTATAGTCTTGCCACAGTGTCCCCGAACTTTAAACTGTTATTTTTCCAAGAGGTTATAATGCATTAAAAAATACTAATGCTTAAATTCTGTAGAAAATCTTAATGTGCATGAGTTTAATTTGCGTTTGGTCATTTGGGTTGATGTTTTATTATTAACACATTATGGGGTTTCCTTTTAGGAGAGCACAGACGTAGATGACGAGGAGGATGAAGATGACAAGGTGAGTGAGCTCGAGAAAGAACATGAAAAGGAACATTAATGTTGTCAGCAGATAGCACTTCTCTAGGTTGAGTCTCTCTAACTCTTCTTTTTTTTAAGCATCGTATAATAGAGTGGCCGGTATAATATCATTGTAATTTTTTTAAAAGGATATGCCTTCTTAAGATTTTCTAAAATGAGGTTGAAAGGAGTAAAATAGAAGGAATAATCGAAATGTTATAAAAAGCATACCTGTATGGGGCCTTTCATTGGACGCAAGCCAAGATTAGCCTTCCCCTTTGTAGATAAAAGGTAGCCTAGGAAGTCAAAAGTAAATCAAGTGAAATTGCTGTTCCTTTAGGTTCGTGTCTGTGCTCTGTGGGGTGGTCACCCACTTCCGCGCCTGTCACTTTCCCAGCTGTTGCTGGCAGCGTTTTCAGCTATATGTCTGTGTACATCTGTCCTTTTTCATCTCCTGGGAGAATCTCTCAAATCTGCTGCTTTTGTTGTCATTATGCTTTCAGACAAACCTTCTGGAATAAAATGAAAAAAGTGAAGTGCCAAATGAGATGCTACTAGCTTAATGGACTTCCAGTCCCCTAATGCCTCGGGGTATACAGGGCTAGCCACGGTAGCATGTAGGAGGCGTGTGGGAGAGGGAAGGGCCAAAGGGGGGACCTTAAGAGTAAGTAGCCAATCTAAATGCCCATAGAATAGAAATTAATTAAAAAACACTGGCTCCGTGACACAAAGAGCCTTAAAATTAATTGAGTGGACCAGATGGTTTTTGCCCATTTGAAGCAAATCGGGTGGATTACAAAATATATCTTATTTGTTGTGCTGAGGTGATTACTAATAGCAAAATAATGAAATAAAGTATAATATTTTTTAAAGTGGAATTGACCTTTTCATGACAATTCCAACTTTCTTCTTGATGAATTGATATTAGTAGTTTCTGAGTGATAGTCATTGAATATTAATAGTCACAGGCAAGCTAAGGTGTATGATGGGATGTTTTACCAAAGAAAATCACAAGTATTAACAATATTATTTTAAACCTGTATGTAGTGACAACTGCAAGTTTGGGGCTTCTGTCCTTCTGGCTGGCCAGCTATAATTTGGGGGTTCCCACACACTCCCCTTGGGTACGGTAATTTCCTAGACTGGCTCACCAAACTCAGGGAAACATTTACTTACATTTGCTGGTTTATTATAAAGAACACAACTCAGGAACAGCCAAGTGGAAGAGACACAGAGCACAAGGTATGGGGATAGGGGAGTGGAGCTTCCACGCCCTCTCTAGACATACCATCCTCCCAGCAACTCTGTGTGTTCACCAGTCCAGAAGCTTCTTTCCATGGAGGCTTCATTACATAGGCATGATTGGTGAAATCATTGGACACTAGTCATTATGTTTATCTCTAGTCCCTCTTTCCTCCCTGGAGGTGGGGTTGGGGTTAAAAGTTCCAACCCTCTAGTCACATGGTCGGTTCCCCTGACAACCAGTACCTCATCCTTAGGGGCTTTTCAAAAGTCACCTCATTAACATAACCTCAGGTGTGTTTGAAAGGAGCTTGTTATGAATAGCAAAAGATGCTTCTCTCACCTTTCTAAGTCTGGAGCTATTTCATGAACTACGGGGGTGGGGGACACAAGCAAATATTGTAACAGAAGATGTTCCTATGGGCTATCACTTGGGAAAGTCCAATAATTGTAGGAGCTCTGTGCCAGGAACCAAGGACAAAGTCCAAATGTACATTTTTTATTATATCACAATATCACGCTAGGAAAAATTCTAAATATTCAGAAACCAAGGCTTAGAAAGAAGGAATATTCTTTCTGTTTGGCCATACCAGTTTAAACGAGCCACTAGTGGAAAAAGATGCCCTCCATCCTTTAGAGATAATTGTGACCATGTATCTTTGGCCTGTCTAATGAAGGAGAGCATCCACCAATAAGACAGTGAATGAAAAGGTGGTATTTAGTAACTGGCAGATAACAAAAATAGGCCATGAAGTCTAGCCCAGTGGTTGTCAAGATCTAGTCTACCACCGATGTACTTCAAGAGCTGCCTGAGGGTCCAGAGGTAGAGCCATTTGGGCTGTGCTTCAAGCCTTTCTGGGCGAGCACAACTGAGAGAAGGGTTGGAATGGCAGTGTCCACAGGGATGAGCCTGGGAGCTGTCACATTCGTGCAGGCACAGCCCTGCACACAACCACGTGTGTCAACCTGTCCCATGATGACCGGGTTGGCACTAAGCCTCTCCTTCTTCCCAGGGCCAGTTCATTCCTGATATGTTTTTATTAAAGTATTTCAATAGGGCCTTTTAATAGCCACAGCATAACCATGATTGCTTTGCTTCCTCAATTTTATATGTCTATGAAATTTTCCAGAGGAATAAATATATAATGGAGTTTTGACTTCTGTTTATGCCACCTTCTGCTTAACACAACCCCTCTATTGTTAGGGGAGACTGGCAAATGTTTCTGTCCTTCTCTGTATCCTTTCACTCTCCCTTCTCCAAGAGATTTGTCAACTAGAGTGATTTTCAACTTTAGGACTTCTTGAATGTGCATCCACATTATGAATTACAATATACAAAACATCGTTTCTTCCCCATGTATAGCAGCCTCCACCACTGGGATGTGCTCCTCATGGACTTGGACACGCAGTCCCTGGGTGACTGCCCGCCATCGTGTGCTGTATAAAAGGTCTTACCCACTGAGCCCTTCTGGCTTCTGTTGCATGTTAGACATGACAGACCATGCTTCTGGGAACTGTAACTCACCCAGTGAGAGATGAACTGTTTATAAATTATAAACACACAGCTGCTTCGTTCAAAACCAGAAGAGGAGAGAAACTCCTTTCTACCCAAACTATCCATCTTGAAAGTGACACTCTTTAATTGCTAGCGTTCCATCCCACCAAATACCATCACGGATGACTGTGGAAGAAGATGAAAGCGTGCCGGGGCTCGTTGGCACAGCTTCCTCAGGAGATGAATGCATTCCCATATTCTGCCTGTCTCCGATGCACAGACCAGGACACAGTCTGGTGTCTGTCATACTTTTATCATCTGGAACAGGGATTGTTGTACAATTACATCACTGTAGCCTCTTGTTCCTTCTCATTGTGAAAAGTACATGGTAGAAACCTGTGTTAGAAGCCAGATTACATTCCACAATTTTGTCTTCTTTTGTGGACTTTCGGTGATAACCGAGAACTTGCAAGTAACTAGCTTTGTGGCTTTTAGGAAATGAAATGTCCAGGCTAAATTTTGAAAAGAGGAAATCCCTTTTTCTAATACCTGATGGACCATGTAAGAAATTGCTTGTTACAACTATAGTTTTCTAGGGACTCCAGAACAAACAGATAATGGCTAAGTTCAACCAACAGCAATCAGTTGACATTTCCTATTTGTATTAGATTCCATATGTGGAATCCTTCCGTGTGGACCTTATTTGTATGGATGGATTACAATGAAAATTGCATTAATTTTCTACACAGTAAAGGTCAGTAATTGAAGCATGAACCAAGAAACTATTGTGTAAAATGCTGTATCCCATACTTAGGAAAGGTCATGCAAGACAATAATACCTTGTTTTCATTGCTGAAGGTATAAATACTTGCATTAGAGTTTCTTTCTTTTTCCAGCCCAACAATCACTTACATAGACTATTTCAGCATTTACTATTAACATCAGGAAGAAGAAATCATAAGGGCATGTAATAAAAGGAAAAAAAAAAAAACCCTTTATTGCTATCTGAAAGAAACTGTACTCTGATGCTGCATTGTGGGTTGGTTTATTTATAACTAGGCTATCAGAAATAGGACTGGAATGATCTGTTCTTTTAGGATCATCAATGAGGTCACAATTGACTGACAGTATTTATGAAAAAAGAAAATTCACCCTTTTATATCAGTTATAGATGAGAGACAGATATGGACATTTTTTCTTTAAGAAAAGAGGAAATATCTATTACATTTTTGTTAGTTGAGGAATGTTTTATAATGGAAGGATGCAAATGGATATTTTATCTATATTATCACAAATTAAGATGTCATCATTAAAATTTAAGTACATATTAACTAAATCCTCAATTTCAGTTTAAAATAGTTTTCCACCCTTCAATTTAATTAGTCCCCTTGTTATTACCCAGGCATGGCCTTTATAGTGGGAGAAGCACATGCTATATACGTTTAGAAGGAGTTCTCTCTGTGAATTACTCTGAACAGTCATTTGTATGACATGACTAAGTCCATCATGTTCATTGTCTGTCTCTTTATGCCAGAGAGAGAGAGATGATGATCTGTAGTTTCCTTGACAGGGAAGCCTGTTGTTCATGGAGGAGTCTTCTTGTAGTCTAATCGTGAGAGTGGTTTTGCTGATGATTCCTTTGTGCCTTCTTAATAATATCCAAAACACTGTAAATTGATGTGATTAATGATTTTTTTCGAACTCTTGCTTAAGTAATGGTACTTACGTGATGATAAAGTATGGTATTTTTAAGAAAATTAAAAACCAGAGAGTATCTGAATGGTCAACAATATTTTTGAGTGAGCACACATACTTTCCAGGGCTGTAGAACTTATTTATAGGGCATATTGTAGAAGATCTGCTTATGGATAGTTTTCAGGGGAAAAATGTAAATGGTTATTTTGATTTAAGTCATTTCAATTTGATTTAATATTTTTTTAGTGATGAAGTAATTTAATTGTTAACATTTCCATCATACTATCTTACTTTCAAGCCTTTAGTAGTAAAGTGGATTTCAGCCAATTCTTAATTATCAGTTTTGTATGAGAAGGAGGTGCCTTCCCAATTCCCTGTAGTCCTTTGACACCTCCACTTGCTCAAATTCCCTTTTAAAAAATCAAACTTCCATTCTTAGAAATATTTGACTTCATAGCCTTTAGAAGTAATCCAGAAATATTACTAACATGGCCTTTGGAACATTATTCAAAGCATCCTACTTATTATCAGGCTGATATTCTTAGTAGTTGTAGATCTTTGCAATTTAT